TGCTTTATTTCATCCATTAGAGATTCCTGCTGAGCCAGCTTGTCCTTGATATCTTCTAGAGCTCTGAAACCAAGCTTCTATGCGACGAATCAAACGACAGCAAAATGAGTTTCGGCGGTAGAACTTACTCGTCAGCGCGACGGCGTTCACTGGATGCAAGTTCAGTTAAGCGATCAACCTCTTTCAGCTGGACATTAAGCTGTTCTTCCAAAAGAGAAATCCGGGAATGAGATTCATCCGCTTGCGACTGAAAATAGATGATAATGTTCATAAAGCACCCCAATTTTTATGAATTACCCAAATGCCGCATGATTGCCAATACGGCCTATTAATCAGCCTGCATATAAACAATGACCCCAAAATATTCAGAGAAAAAAGAGTGCACCAATAGAGAGAGACAGCTGTAATGGAAACATGACGAATGTGACTATTTCATCCTACCATTGCCCTGAGCATTCTTTACAACTGCAGTGTGTGCAGGATATGCAGCCAATAGGTGGCGACCCTCTACTACATACCGAAAATAAGCTGAGAAAATATTCGAGAAGCAACAGAAGACTGAGTCGCGATAGATGGATAGAGGTAAGAAGTGCTAGGAAATGACGAGAAATCTCAAAAATGACGAGTATTAAAGGAAAGTACTGAGAAACCGTACTGGATCCAGGAAACTATACGCTTAGAAAAGTGAGGACAGTACAAAGTAGTTAGGTGTACTAGGCTAGCTTTTCTTGTAAGGTCAGAAAAAAATTTAGAAGGTACATCTAAAATGCCGAGATTGTCGTAACAGCGAACATGGATAGGTGGCCCTCGTTCAAACTATACAGGCTCCCCATCCGTCCAGCTAGTCAGTTCCCGACAACCGATGTGAAGAGTGATTTTAATGCAATTTCAGTTTTGACTATCACTCCATGAGTCTCGTGAAAAGTACATCGCAGAAAAAGTCCACAAACTTCGGATGTTTAAAATTTCGGATGTTTCAGGTTTTCCCGCTGCATACCACTTTGAAAAGTATAGCATAATTTTCTAGTGATACCTAATTTTTATATGAAAGAGCAGAACGAAATGGGAGAAAGGTGTAGCAGGATGATGTGATGCAATTGCTGCAGTGCTGAATACGGAGAGCAACAGAGAAACGTAAGTGTGCTTGAGCGATTTTTCAAAATAG